GTCACATATGACAAAATGCTTCCCCGCTATTAAGGAGATATTCTGTCATTTAAGACAGAATGCTTCCCCACCGTTGAAGATAAATATCATAATTTCAGACAAAACGCTTGCCCGCCATTGACAAGATATTCCATCATTTCAGACAAAACGTTTCCCGCCATTGACGAGATATTTGGTAATTTATGCCAAAAACGCTTCCCTGCCATTGATGAGATATTTGGTCATTTATGCCAAAACGCTTCCCCGCCATTGACGAGATATTTGGTAATTTATCACAAAACGCTTCCCCGCTATTGACGAGATATTTGGTAATTTATCACAAAACGCTTCCCGCCATTGACGAGATATTTGGTAATTTATGCCAAAAACGCTTCCCTGCCATTGATGAGATATTTGGTCATTTATGCCAAAACGCTTCCCCGCCATTGACGAGATATTTGGTAATTTATCACAAAACGCTTCCCCGCTATTGACGAGATATTTGGTAATTTATCACAAAACGCTTCCCGCCATTGACGAGATATTTGGTAATTTATGCCAAAACGCTTCCCTGCCATTGACGAGATATTTGGTAATTTATGCCAAAATGCTTCCCCGCCATTAACGAGATATTCCATTGTTGCAGACAGAACGCTTCCCCGCTATTGACGAAATATTTGGTAATTTGTGCCAAAACGCTTCCCTGCCATTGACGAGATATTTGNCAGCTGTGTCATGGTGAGGGCACTAACACATCTCCATACCAACACACACAGCTGTGTCATGGAGAGGGCACTAACACATCTCCACACCAACACACACAGCTGTGTCATGGAGAGGGCACTAACACACCTCCATACCTGTGCTGATATCAGGAGCAGGGCCAGGTATGACGGTGGAACACGCAGGCTGGTTCTCTGATGGTGTGTTCGATTCACAATATTGTTTCTTCTCCTTCACTAAAATAAGATCTTTGAAAACGTACATGTATATACAAACAGTATTTTCTCATATTTACCATAACTTTTTTTTCTATATCATTAAAAGACACCTTGTCCAGAAATGACACAAACATTTCCTTGTTTGTTTTTTGTGTTGTTTGCTTTCTTATGGTTATCAGAAATTTATGAGAAAATAAATCTCAGTTCAGAATTAGAATTTTTCCATATTTTTTTGATACTTTTCCCATATTGATAGTTTTATTTATTCATCCATTTATTTATTTGTCCATTTAATCATTTTGGGTTTTTTGTATGTTTGTTTTTTAGTAATTACGAGAGTTTTCTTATAATTTTGGGAACATTTTCAAATGTTATGTAAAGTTTTTCTATAAGTTGAAAATAGAACATTTGAATTTTTATACAAAAAATCTAAAACAAATCTGAATTTTCAAGTGAATTTTAAATTTTAAACTTGTGTTGGAGCCAAACTGGAACCAGTGCTGCCCAGGACGTCCCACAGATACCCGGCCCTGTGTGGACAGACTGGAGACACAGCAGCCGGGGACATTTAAAGCCAGTCCAGACATTTGCATCATGCTTGACATGAGGCGTGGGGGGCTGGGCTTAGTTTGACATCAAGACAAAGAGAGGTTAGGGGACGAGGAGGAGGAGGAGGAGGCGTGCAGTCGACGTATGAATCTTACATTTTCCTCAAGTTCCCTGAACGCATCATCTGCTTGCTTAACGTCAGTCCCTACTAAGTGGGCTCTGTCAACCGGCTCTGACAGGCCGTACTCGACCATCGCGTTTTCTGTGGCGTTAATGGTTCTGAGGACCTCAGTGGTGAGGTCACAGAGGGCGGCGGCCGTCGATCTCTGAAATCCATGTAGAGGGACAGATGTTAGCAGCTGGAAAACAACACCTGTTCCTGCAGCAGCCACCAGCCCGGAGACGACCATGACAACCGACCTGGAGACGACCATGACGACCGACCTGGAGACAACCATGACGACCGGCGCGGAGATGACCATGACGACCGACCTGGAGACAACCATGACGACCGGCGCGGAGACGACCATGACAACCGACCTGGAGACAACCATGACGGCCGGCCCGGATAGGACCACCTTGACATTAACAAGTTAGTTGATCCTCCTGAGAACCAAGGGTTTCTTTGGTTTGCATTTTTAATGTCTCCGAACATTGAAGCCATATTCTGTCACATATGACAAAATGCTTCCCCGCTATTAAGGAGATATTCTGTCATTTAAGACAGAATGCTTCCCCACCGTTGAAGATAAATATCATAATTTCAGACAAAACGCTTGCCCGCCATTGACAAGATATTCCATCATTTCAGACAAAACGTTTCCCGCCATTGACGAGATATTTGGTAATTTATGCCAAAAACGCTTCCCTGCCATTGATGAGATATTTGGTCATTTATGCCAAAACGCTTCCCCGCCATTGACGAGATATTTGGTAATTTATCACAAAACGCTTCCCCGCTATTGACGAGATATTTGGTAATTTATCACAAAACGCTTCCCGCCATTGACGAGATATTTGGTAATTTATGCCAAAACGCTTCCCTGCCATTGACGAGATATTTGGTAATTTATGCCAAAATGCTTCCCCGCCATTAACGAGATATTCCATTGTTGCAGACAGAACGCTTCCCCGCTATTGACGAAATATTTGGTAATTTGTGCCAAAACGCTTCCCTGCCATTGACGAGATATTTGTTAATTTATGCCAAAATGCTTCCCCACCATTGACGAGATATTCCATTGTTGCAGACAGAACGCTTCCCCGCTATTGACGAAATATTTGGTAATTTGTGCCAAAACGCTTCCCTGCCATTGACGAGATATTTGGTAATTTATGCCAAAACGCTTCCCTGCCATTGACAAGATATTTGGTAATTTATGCCAAAACGCTTCCCCGCCATTGATGAGATATTCCATTGTTGCAGACAGAACGCTTCCCCGCTATTGATGAGACATTCCATCATTTATGACAGAACGCTTCCCCGCTATTGAAGAGATACACACACAGAAGAAGAAGTGTGTCTGGATCCAGGCAGGCAGCTGCTGACCTTCACATTTCCACAACCTGCTGTCGGGTTGTTATGTAACGCAGGAGGCAGCCCGTTAGTGAGGAGGCGTCATGCAGAAATCTGACCAACACGAAGAGTTCATCTTCAAAATGTCCGTCAGGAAGAAAAGTCCCTGAAATATTTTTACCTTCAGTACCAATCTGAGTTTCATCCCAAAGTTCAGATATCTTTTCTCCTGATTTGATTTTTTTTGTGATGTCATGACACGAGCTTCCTGACAATCTTATTTTGAAGTTGAACTCTTCATCCTGACAAAAGCTGAAATCTATATCAGAACCGTATTTCTATATATTGGACATTGTTTAGTGGACCTTTTCTGAGGGGACGAGCTGAGCCATGCTGTGAAAGCATCTTTTACTGCCGTCACCACGAACAGGATCCTGGATGTTCATGAAACATCGCTTTGATTTTGTGTCAGTGGTTAAAACTGAGCTCAAACTGCTCCGTGACCTTGACGGGAGTTTGAGAATATAATGAACTGAACAGGACAGTTTTTCTTGCAGTCTGATACCAGTTTTCCACCAAATTAATTCTGGTTCTGTTCAGGATTTTTCTAACTTCAGCCCCATTTCCACCGAGCAGTCCGGTTCAGTGTCATTGTTTCTGTCTCCACAGTTAAAATTGTGGATGGTCCCAACAGAAGCGTTCCTTAGCGTCCCCATGTTTGGTCCCCCCTCTGTTGGGGTACCTAGCACACAGATCTGGTACTAAAAGGTGGAGCTAGAAACCCTGCAGTCTGATTGGTCAGTAGAGGACGCTCACTCTGGTTTTATGTAACCTCTGTTCATACATCAGTAAACTACAACTATAAAATGAAAGAGAAAAAAATAACTTCATTCACTGGGCCGACTGCCGGCAACTTTTAAGGTGGAACGTTAACTTGTAATGTTACTCAATGCATGAGTTGATGACGTGAATCCATCAGCACACCTTAAATTTCACTGTGACAACTTTGACCATCACTTTAGTTTTTATATGACACACATTTTTAGTAATGACTTTAAAAATATAGATTAATTTGGAGCGGATTATGTGAAGGTCATATATTCTAATCCTCACTTCCTGTGGGCTACAGCAACACTAAACCCCTGAGCTTGCCTGAGAAGGACTAAATGCACAAAGCTGCTATTTTTAAATATCCCATGGAGAGAGACTCTCACTGCAGCCTGTTCTATTTTGTTGTGAAAATGTGGGCGTGCAGCCTCGTTCTGTGGACGATAAACCAGGTGCAGACTTCCATCTGTGTCACCGCTGATGAGGAAATACAGCGAGTGCTGGACGGAGCAGTGAGTGACAACAACCCCGCCCACATTTAAGAGGACTGTCTGAACACACCGAGGGTCTAGGTACCATGTCTGAAGGGTTACTGCTGGTTCCAAAGGTGCTGGACTGAAAGGGTTTGGTGGAGACGGGGCTTTTGGTGCTCTGCAGCGATGACCTGTTCTCATTCCAAAGTCATCAAATACTGCTGCTTTGTCAATGATATTGGTGACAGACATCAACGCCAAAAGCCACTAATTGTGGTGGTATCATACAGCGGAGTTGGAAAGTTCCAATGGGGATGTCACACGCATCACACAACAGAAACACTTGATACCTAGCAACTAATATGCAGATGTGAAAGTCCAGTGACAAAGCAGCTCTTTCCAGCCTGTAGAATACGACACACTCACTGACGTCGTCAGTTTGAATTTCAGGTTTAGAAAAACCTGAAATGTTTTGGTTCCAGCTGTGAACCACCTTTCTGGGTTCCGAACCAATGTATTTTTGGTTGAAGTGCTCTAAACGGTTCAAAATTCAGTGCAGGAACTGGAACAGATCCATGTTGGTGGAAAAAGGGTGTAAGAGATAACCTGAGGTTGTTTCTGAAACTTCCAGGTTCCCATTTGCTGTGACATCCACCCTGAGTTTAAACCCATCAATGACTCTGGTAAGATGACCCATCCAGACCTCGCTCCTACCTTCTGAGCTTCGGTGGGCATCTCGTCGCTGGATGAGCTCAGCTCTTTATCTTTCAGAGAGTCCAGAGTGACCACCGGGCCACCCTTTACACCAGCCAGACTTTTACCCACAGAGAAGGACTTCTTCCCGGGCTCGTCGTCTGAGGACAGTCCCTTATCACTAAGGTTCCCCGCCAGCTCGCTCAGCTTCCTCCTCAGCTTCTCCTCCTCGTTCTGAACCGACGAAGTCGCCGTCTGCACCAAGACACCAACAGCAACTCATCAACCTCTAATTCTGTCTGATTAAAGACACTGATTTTGGAGCTGATGTGTCTGATCTCACCTCATCAGCAGGTGTCATCTTCTCCTCCAGGCGGTTCAGCAGACTCTCGATGGCCGACATTCGTTTGTTCAGCTCATTCATCTGCCGGGTAAAAACCAGAGACCAGATCATTTCATGTTCCCACGGTCAAAGAAAACACAACGTTAGACAAAAAATCAGTTTTGGTTTATGAGCGTAAAAAAACTCAGACACTGATTGGTTGTTGTTCCTTACGGGTGGGGCTTGTCCCAGGTTCTCCTGGGAGGACGCTCTGCTGTTCTTGCGACGATGGGGGTACTGCTGGTATGCTGGGGGGTACCTCGGGTATTCGTCCTCGTCCGAGGTGTCCACGTACTGCTGCCGAGCAACCGAGGAGCTGATCTTAGACAGAGAACGAGTCCGGACCATCCTGCTGTCGCCGTAGTCATCTGGCAACACAGGTAAACACAGACAGGTAAATACAGACAGGTAAATACAGACAGGTAAACATAGACAGATAAACACAGACAGGTAAATACAGACAGGTAAACATAGACAGGTAAACACAGACAGGTAAATACAGACAGGTAAACACAGACAGGTAAACATAGACAGATAAACACAGACAGGTAAACACAGACAGGTAAATACAGACAGATAAACACAGACAGGTAAACATAGACAGATAAACATAGACAGGTAAACACAGACAGGTAAACACAGACAGGTAAACACAGACAGGTAAACACAGACAGGTAAACACAGACAGGTAAACACAGACAGGTAAACACAGACAGGTAAACACAGACAGGTAAACACAGACAGGTAAACACAGACAGGTAAACACAGACAGGTAAACACAGACAGGTAAACACAGACAGGTAAACACAGACAGGTAAACACAGACAGGTAAACACAGACAGGTAAACACAGACAGGTAAACACAGACAGGTAAACACAGACAGGTAAACACAGACAGGTAAACACAGACAGGTAAACACAGACAGGTAAACATAGACAGATAAACACAGACAGGTAAACACAGACAGGTAAATACAGACAGATAAACACAGACAGGTAAACATAGACAGATAAACATAGACAGGTAAACACAGACAGGTAAATACAGACAGGTAAACACAGACAGGTAAACATAGACAGATAAACACAGATAGGTAAACACAGACAGGTAAACACAGACAGGTAAACACAGACAGGTAAACACAGATAGGTAAACACAGACAGGTAAACACAGACAGGTAAACACAGACAGGTAAAGTACCCCGAGTCTGAACCATGTGTGTACTGTGCGTACTGTGAGTACTGTGTGTATTTGTACATGTACCTGGTCTCATGGCGTATCGGTCCAGACTCTTCCTGCGGTTCACTCGGTGGTTGTACATGTCGTAGTCCACGTCATTCCTGTACCCGCGATCCTCCTGCATCTGCTGCACCAAACATGCCACATACACACAGGAAGCTGTGACATCAGCAGTGACATCAGCAGTGTGTAATCGTACAGGTGTGGTATATTCACTATATTTATTTAAGCCACTCAAAGCTCTGAACGTCTGAGTCACTTGACCTTTGCTATCCTTCCTTCACATATCTAAGTCCTCAGTTTTTCTTCTTGGTTAGTTTAGTTGTTGTAGTCGTACTTTAAATAGTTGTGCTTGAGGTGTTGTTGTACTTTAAGTTGTTGTACTTTAGGTGGTGTTTTTTAGGTGTTGTTTACCTGTACAGAAGGTCGTCGTGAATAAGGGAAATATTCCTCGGGGTCAAAGTCCAGAGGATGAACTGACAGCAAGCGTTTGCTCTTCCTCATCTGACACAGAAAAAGAAATGAAGAATTTTAATGCTGCAGGCTTCGCATCCTATACACCGTCACAAGGTTTTGATTTTCATCTCCAGGTTACCACTTTGTAGCGCTGAACCTCGGTCTCTATGTGGTCGTCCTCGGCACCGTTATACACATCTGCAGGTACAAATACAAGACTTTGACAAGAAGTCTGGAATTAACAACATGTTTCAACTAGAGCTCTGATTCATTTGGTTTAAAGTGTCGACTTTTTCTTTTCTCTGCAGTAAATTAAGATAAATATGTAATCTGTCTTCATCTGCAGATGTTAACAATTAAAGTGACATCAATGTGTCTCATCTCCCAAAAAAATAAATTAATTAATTAAGAAAATAAAGAAAAACATTTACACATAAATGTGAGGCAAATATTGTATATAAATTGAATAAAACAAATGGATAAACGGGTTCAATTTTTAATATAATTTTAGAAACAAATTCTGGATAAATACTTTCTGAGCCTGCCGATGGTTTTGTGTTTCAGTAGCTGATTTGTTTTTCCTGTTATCAAGCCGTATAAAGACGTTTCTCATTTTTCAGTGGGTCACAATTTGTATTTAAAATCCAAATTGTTGAGGTTTTAATCCAGAATTCTGCTGAAAATATAAATATCAAATATGTGTATGTTTTTTTTAAAAAAATGAAAAAAAAAAAAAAAAAATTTAGAAATTTAGAGTTTTACATTTAAAGCTTTAACTTTAATTATCTGATTTTGTTCACGTGTTTCTTCCTGTCGTATTTTTAATTCTACACAAAATATTTCAGATGCCATGTTGACTCACGGCTGCGGACATCCGGCATACTCTGAGTGTCGTCATCACGACCACCTGGAGAAGAAGCACATTAAGTCTTATTAGCATTTAGCATATTGTTATTTCTCACAGATGAATAATTATAAATAATAGGTATGTTCAGAATTTATCACACAGTTAATAAAGTCTCTCTGGACGTCTTATTAATAATGAATTAGTACAAAAACACAGAATTTTTTTTAAACAAAACTAAATTAAAGAGCTGAGATTTTTTTATGCTGAACGACCTTCAGCTCCAAGATAACGCACCTTAAATGAGCAAAGTCACTCTGTGATGTCACACTCACCGTCTCCATTCAGCCTCTTGTACAATGACCTCATCACCTTCGCACTGCCAAAGCGTTTGAAGCGATTCCGTACGTTGTCGTGGTACCAACCAAGAGTGCCGATTTTCAGCACCCTGCAGGAGTACGAGACAAATACTTCATATGTACACAACAAATACTTCATATGTACACAACAAATACTTCATATGTACACAACGAATACTTCATATGTACACATATGACATGACATCAATGACCAGGAACACAGTGAAGGACACGATGATATTTGACGTTCTCCGGACCGTCTGTCTCGGTGTGTAAACTCCGAGATAGTCTTAGTATTTCCTTACCTGCACTCTCGGTACTCTCAGTGCCTACCTGTGGGTGTCTCACCTGGTCATGCGGCAGTTGTCACACACCCAGCCGTGCTCCTTCTTGTTGTAGCGGCTGCAGGACTTGCAGGTGTACATGTGGCAGTCCAGACACTGGCGCTTACTGTTGACCAGGAACTTAAAGGGCTGCAGGCAGCGGATGCAGTGAGAGTCTGATAGCTGGCTCTGAGAACCCAGCAGCTCTCGCTTGGTGTCCTCCTTCTGGATCTTTGTCTTCAGATCCCTGCCACAACAAGACACGACGGAGACATGTTACCACCATGCTGGTAAAACTACTTTTACTACTACTACTACTACTTTTACTACTACTACTACTACTACTACAACAATCCTACTACTGGAACTACAATCCTACTACTGGAACTACAATACTACTACTAGAACTACAATCCTACTACTGGAACTACAATCCTACTACTAGGACTACGATACTACTAGAACTACAATCCTACTACTGGAACTACAATACCACTACTGGAACTACAATACTACTACTAGAACTACAATCCTACTACTGGAACTACAATCCTACTACTAGGACTACGATACTACTACTACTAGAACTACAATCCTACTCCTGGAACTACAATACCACTACTGGAACTACAATACTACTACTAGAACTACAATCCTACTACTGGAACTACAATCCTACTACTAGGACTACGATACTACTACTAGAACTACAATCCTACTACTGGAACTACAATACTACTACTAGAACTACAATCCTACTACTGGAACTACAATACCACTACTGGAACTACAATACTACTACTACTGGAACTACAATCCTACCACTGGAACAACAATCCTACTACTAGGACTATGATACTACTACAGGACTACGATACTACTACTAGAACTACAATCCTACTACTGGAACTACAATCCTACTACTAGAACTACGATACTACTACTAGAACTACAATCCTACTACTGGAACTACAATACTACTACTAGAACTACAATCCTACTACTGGAACTACAATACCACTACTGGAACTACAATACTACTACTACTGGAACTACAATCCTACCACTGGAACAACAATCCTACTACTAGGACTATGATACTACTACAGGACTACGATACTACTACTAGAACTACAATCCTACTACTGGAACTACAATCCTACTACTAGAACTACGATACTACTACTAGAACTACAATCCTACTACTGGAACTACAATACTACTACTAGAACTACAATCCTACTACTGGAACTACAATACCACTACTGGAACTACAATACTACTACTACTGGAACTACAATCCTACCACTGGAACAACAATCCTACTACTAGGACTATGATACTACTACAGGACTACGATACTACTACTAGAACTACAATCCTACTACTGGAACTACAATCCTACTACTAGAACTACGATACTACTACTAGAACTACAATCCTACTACTGGAACTACAATACTACTACTAGAACTACAATCCTACTACTGGAACTACAATACCACTACTGGAACTACAATACTACTACTAGAACTACAATACTACTACTGCAGCTCTTTCTTGGTGTCCTCCTTCTGGATCCTTGTCTTCAGGTCACTGCAACAACAACAAGAGAGGACAGAGACATCAAGGTGTTACCAGCATGGTGGTAAAAATACTATTACTACTACTGGAACTACCATACTAGTAACAGAACTACAATGCTGCTAGTACAACACTACTACTAGAACTACAGAATACAGAATATTATATCTACTACTGAAAAAGAAGTTCTACACCTAGAACTACAATGCTGCAATACTGCTACTAGAACTACAATTTATCTAGTACAAGAACTACAGTATATCTACTACTGGACCTACAATAGTAATAGCAGAACCTCAGTTTATATGAGAAGAAGTAGAAGTACAGGATGACAGTACACTGCTATGTGTCGCTGCTGATGGGGAACTCTGTGTTCTCTGAACGGAGACAGTTTGTATGATTTTAGCAGCAGCTGAACGTCTTGTGAGAGATCAGCGTGTCCTCAGTGTTTCATGTGACCAAGTCGTCCACCTCCAGGGACCTGAACCACAGCTTGAAAATGTTCACAGTCTTCACAGTGGACTTGTTGTTATTCACTGTCACATACATTCACACCATGTTTACAACAGCACATTCCTCTACGTGTTCTCCAACATGTCCCGAACTGTCTCCTGTGAGAATCAGCCTCTGTGACGGATCCTAGAACTGGATTTAAAACGCTTAACACTCATGTGTAACTAAAGTACGTCACCACGAGCACCAGTCAAACATGCACAGTGTGAATTAGATTGGGTGAATGTTTCTCAGCCACTTTAAATGTTGAGTCAATTGAATTTTCACAGTGAAAATCAGATTATTCACAGATGATTCATTCAGTCATTCTTTCATTCATTCAGCCTGAGGACAGAAACTGCATTTGTTCCTGAGTCATGTCGTCAGCGATCATCACTGATCAGCGCTGCTGAGACGGAGGAGAGGAACAAAGTATTCTGAGCCTTTACTGCAGTAAAAATACTTCATTACAATGATGCGTCCTGCATTGTCACGTAAAAGAAGTAAAAGTGTGTATATTGCAGTAAAATGGGTTTCCCTATTCGAGGTGACACATTAATGTGTGTCATGCTACTGCTGTAGATATTTCACAGACTGCTGGGTACTTTGATCCACAGTAATCTATTACAGTAATCTACTTGGGTAAAAATACTTAGTTATATTCCACCACTGCTTCTCTCACAGGGTGCACCAACGCTTTGGATGAAGAATGGTTAGAACGAAGGAGAGTCTGTTTCCTTTCTTTAAATTACATCTCCCTGACTCAGCCTCTGAGTTTGCCCCCAGGGCTGATGGGAGTCGGAGTCTTCAATGCAGAACAGAGAGTGTCTTTGTGAGCTTCCTGTTTTCTCCTGCAGACTCTCGTCCGTGTGACCATGTCGTGATCGACTGCAACAACAACAACGTCTTTCTTGCTCACATTCCTCGGAGCCCTCACATGAACGCCTCACAGAGACGCTTCACTTCACATCCACTTAATCAATATATTGATAGATGATCATCTTATAACAGATATGTTTACATGAAGATTTTGATCCAAGATGTTTCAATCAATCAATCAATCAATCAATCAATTTTATTTATAAAGCCCAATATCACAAATCACAATTTGCCTCACAGGGCTTTACAGCATACGACATCCCTCTGTTCTTATGACCCTCACAGCTGATCAGGAAAAACTCCCCAAAAAAAACCCTTTCCACACACAGTAAAACATTTGTCAAGTATCAGAAATTATAATTAAAGGATAGTTATTTCATACACAGTAGTTTTAATGCTGTTAACGCACATATGATGAGGAATATTTGATGTTTTTTGAAAGGCTGATGCTACAATTCAATGCTGACCGAAATGTGAAGAAGAAGAAAGAAGAAAGTGAGGTAGTAGGAATAGTTGGAGACATGCAAATAGGTTTAATTACTTTGGATGTTATTGAAAAGTTGAATGATAACAATACTATGGAATATTTCAAGATTCTTGAAAAGCTGAAGCTACACTGCAATGCGCCCTTAAATGGTGAGTACGGTGAAAACTTAGGAATAGCTAAAAGAAATGGGAAATGGGTTCAATTAATTTGTGAAACATTCCACCCACAGACATCCATTATAAATCCTGAGGAGGGCATTTTTTTCCATGCTCTGAACAAGTTTGAATGTTTCAGAAAGTTTGAAAGTTGAATGAAAGTAAGAATATATGAAAGATGAGGTACATTTTAAAGTCTGAATGGAGTTTCTATGTCAATGTATGAATGAAGAGAGGTGTGTCAAGTTTGAAGAGTCCTCCCATCTGCTTGGATGGGGAAAAATGCCCTAAAAACGCAGAATATTTCCAAAAGTAGAATGTTATGAATGAGAAAAGTCATAGCAGGCGATTACTGTTAATATGTTGAAGTATGTTGAAGTAGTTTCGCAGCAAAAAAAAGTGGGCAGGAGAATAGTAATAATAAAGAATTCTGAAGCTGTTCAATAACTTTAAGCATTCACACCAAGCCATTAGATAGCTATCAATATTTTTTTAAATACATGATATATTTAGGGAGGCATTAATTTATTTGTTGTTTATCCTGTATTACTACACTGTAAATATAAAAACATGTATTGATATATGCTTTTATATGAATTACGATTATGAAGTGTCACATCCAGTCATTATTCGGGTAAAGGCTGATATAATAAATGTGTTGAAAACAACAAATGTTAAATTTACACTCGAGATGATGACCATGAATGCTGACTCAAAGCTTCTCTCATCTTCTAAAACAGAATGAATTATAGAGCGCAGACGTTATTCTGATAAATCTGCCACATCATAGAAATCCAAAAACTCAGAACTTAATAACATGAAGACAGTCGCAGAATAAAAAGAGGTGTTCATACCCAAGTCGCTCCTCTTCTTTCTTTCGGAGGTTAAAGTCTCGTTGAATCACCTCCCAGACATGTTTGGCCTCCTCGTCCGTCAGTCGTGACAGATCCAGTTTACGCTCCATGATGCTGAAATACATTTTAAAAAGCTGCATTTACTGATTTTTAGGTGAGTATGACGGCAGAAGAACTCAGCACTCAGCAGAGGAACATTCACAGCAGTGACTCATGGAGTTGCTCAGGGTTCTATTAATGGTCCTCTGTATTTTATATTTACATGTAGGTCTCTTTTCAGCTCCTTAAAACAATGTCACTATAAAGATTTAATATTTAATATTTTGATAGAAAGATAATATTTTGTGTTATTTTTAAGAGGAACAAATTCTGATAGTTTAAGGATAGCATAAGAAAAAACAACAGAATATTTTAAGGTAAAAGCTCATATTCATACAGGATTTTATTTATAAATATGTTGTGAGATCAAAAGTTTTGTCAGAGAACAGTTGGAATATTTTAAGAAAAAGTGGAAATATCTTCAAATGAAAAGCTTAAATTTTAAGAAAAATGACAATAAATTTGAATACTTCAAGAGAAAGTTGTAATACTTTTTGTATTGTAAGACAAATGTCATAAAACTTTAAGACAGGAAGTTGGAACATTTTGAGATAAAAAGCTGTAACATTTTAAGAAAGAGTAGAATTTTTTTACGATGAAAAAAGTAGAAATATTTTTCAATGAAAAGCTGTAAAATTCTAAGAGAATAGATTTTTCTTAGATGAAAAGAAGCCTTTAAAGAAAAAGGCTTAAACATTTCCAGATAAAAAGTAATAAGAGAAAGTCATAATATTTTAAGAAAAAAATAGTTTGAGATATAAGGAAATTGTATTGCAAAAGAAAAGTTGTGATACTTTAAGAAAAACATAAATATTTTGAGATGGAAAGAACTGGCTGTTGTTTTGGACATCATCTAGAGAGAACTTGTAATGATATAAGAAAAAGCTGTAATTCTGCAGCTCAAACTTTTAACTGAGAAGGAAAAAAACATAAATCTTTGGCACAGATTTTGTAAATGTGTCAAAGCAGAGCAGCGAAGTAGCAACAAAGGTGTGAAAATTATTCTTTGTTCTAAATTTCAAAGTGTGTAAATGTCTTGATTGCTGAATGTTAACTTTGATGATAAGACCAATAAAATCAGTTACACAACAGGATCTACTTAGCTCGCTAAAATTAGCTGCCATGAGCTAACGGTCACACCAAACCACGTCAGGCTGTGTTTGAATATTACTGATGTTTGTTGGACATGAGTCTCTTGAATTTCTTTGAAACCTCCGACTTTTAACGTTTCATTTTGCTCAGAGTCTCTACTGGTTTTAAAGTTACTGTTTGTCAGCACACCCTGACGATGATCTTTACACGTTACACAGCTGATAAGATATACACAACCCAGATATGTATTTTAATTTCTGATTGATCAGAAGTCTGTATCCTTCAAAGTAAAATTCAGTGATGCTAAAAACAAGATGAAGACATTTTCTCTGTATGCAAACATTTTGTTCTCTTCATGTTAAATGTTTCACAGCAGCAGAAACACATGAAACTCATTTTATCAACATTTCCACTGAAGACATTTTGAGATTTGACATTTTGCAGATCAAACAATCGAAGAACAAATGTATGAAAATAAAGATTTAACACAAACAAATGTCACAGTGTTTTTTACAGAAGCTTTCACACTCACTTTTACAAAATGCACTTAAATCAGTTTACTGTAAAGTTTAAAAGAGACGTATGAGATGTGATGAATGTGATTCAAGAGAAGAAGAAACTCACCGTGTGTTTGTGTGTCGAAGCTTCAGACTGATGATGATGATGATAATGAAGAAACGTCGCAGTTTAAACTGAGGAAATCAGCTGATCACATGATGACCATCCTCATGACAACAACAGCAACACACTGCTGCAGGCAAATCACTAACATGACTCAGAATGAATAAATAAATCATACACACACACATATATATGAGGAGAGGGAGTGATGATGATGATGATGGAGGAAGAAAAAGAGACGTTAGGAAACAGCCGTAATAATGTGATGACGTTTGGAGGAAAGATTGTCATTTACAAAAACTGTTCCTTAAGAAGAAAAGTTTTATATTTTCAGTCGGACCACCAAAAAAGAACCAAAAACAAACACGTTGATATAGAAATGTTAACCTCAGAGCTCAGCTCAAAGATTTATTCACAACAGAAATGAAGCAGAGCAGAAAATACTTGGACTGAACCCCGGCCTCCCTCGTGGTGAGCAGGGTAAGTTGTCGTTGGACCAGTCGAGCCAGGGAGAGGACAGAGCAGGGCCCAGTCAAATGGAGCTGAGAAGCGGAGCAGACGGCGAGGGTGATGGCAGCGTGAGGCTTGACTAAGAGGCCGTTTACACGTGGCCGGCTATTTTCATAAACGGACATTTCACCGTCTCCGTTTTCAAAAAGATCTTCGTTTACACTTACCCGTGTATATATACACAAGAGCATGCCAAACCTGTAGGTGGCAGTGTAACGAGAAGCTCAAGCCTTCCATGTATCCATTGTCACCATAGCAACATAGGTCGCACTTTTGACACAGGCGCAAGTTCCGGCGCAAACTGTGACGTCAACTGCCTATAACTCCGTTTATCTCCGTTTATCTCAGTTTACATGCAAATGCGCAACCGGAGTTTTCCAAAATCTCCACTCTGGCCGGAGTTTTTAGAAAGACTCGTTTTCAGAGGAGAAATCTCCGTTTGCGTGTAAACGAAGGAAGATGCCTGCGTTTATCAAAATCACCGTGTACGTGTAAACGGCCTCTAAAGCCGGTCTGAAGCAGATGACTCGTGATGGTTGGCACACTGGGTTGAGGCTGGAGGGAGGAGACAGTCTAAACACAGGTGGAGGTGAGTACCGAATGAACTGCAGGTGTGTCAACTTGATTGCAGCTCCCTGCCTCACCTGCTGGCTGACACACACACCTGCTTGCTGAGACACACACACACACACACACACACACACACACACACACACACACACACACTGTTCTGTCCCTCTGCTGTGGTCCTACTTGCTTAGTATTAAAACCCTCAAGAAACTAACACTCCAATTTGACAGAGGACATCACAGGATATCAAAATCCATCCATCCATTGTCATCCACTTTTGCGGGCCGGGTCTCAGAGGCAGCACTCCAGACGTCCCTCTCCTCAGCTCCTTCCTCCAGCTCCTCCTGGAGGACCCAGAGGTGTTCCCAGACCAGATGAGATCTATAATCCCTCCAGTGTGTTCTGGGTCTGCCCCGGGGCCTCCAACCAGCTGGACCAGGAGGATCCTGATCAGATGATGAACCACCTCAACATGAAGGAGCAGCGGCTCTACTCCGAGCTCCCTCCAGATGTCTGACTCCTCCCCCTATCTCTAAGGCTGAGCCCAGACACCCTACAGAGGAAACTCATTTCAGACGCTTGTATCTGTGACCTCATTCTTTCAGTCACTACCCAGAGCTCATGACCATAGGTGAGGGTTGGGACGTAGATGGACCAGGAAATGGAAAGCTTCGCCTTCTGGCTCAGCTCCCTCTGAACCACGACGGTTTGGTGCAGCGCCATCATCACTGCAGATGCTGCACCAAACTGCTGATCCATCTCAGGCTCCATTCTACCCTCACTGTGAACAAGACCCTGAGACAGTTGAACTTTCTTAGCATGCCCGAGCAGAGAGCTGGTAAGTCACTGGCATCTGCTGAAGGCACACAAGCAGCAATCTACAATCCTTACACGAGACACAACTTTGAGAAAAGGAGGCCAGAAATCTGTTCAAGGCCCAACTGTATGTGTCTCATCTGACACAACACGGGACAAGTGTTGTGCAACAAGACGAGGGCGACAACAAAAATGACATGGATGAAATTAAAATGAAACAATAAGGGACGTTATGCAGACAGGCATGCCGACACAAGGATCTCAGACGTGGTTGAAATCACTTCACGTTGGTTTGTCTCAACTTGTCATCTAAGACAGTGTCCAGATACTTATACTGCTGCTCTGCTGCCACCGGCTCCCCCTCATCGCACCAGGAGCAGGAAGGCAGGGCCTCCTCACAAAATCAATGAACTGGTCTTAGACACATTAATGTGGAGGACAGACTGGTCACACCAGTTGACACATTCATCCAGCACTGGACCATGATCATGTTCTGATCCATGAAGAAGACTCTCAATAACAGAGCCGTCCACGTATGTGATTACTCTGACATTCATCTGTGTATAAACAGAACAAAAGAGGAGAGGAAACACATCCCTGAGGGGCTCCAGGAGAAGGACAACGGGAATATTTGAATCATTCAGGTTTGGCCTGACACTAGAAATGTAGATATCTTTCTATCCAGGGTTAATATTTGAAGTTAAAGGTAAATGTTTTGCTGCTTATTTGAGCCACATTTATGTCAAAGGTGCTTTCATCATTCTAACGTGTCTCCTTCATCCCATCAAGTCTTCCCAGCGAGGATGTGAACTGCAGCTGTACCGAAGAGATGCGAGGAAACACAGTGTGTCCTATATTGTTATTCATTCATTCATGTGTCGTCATTCCACCATCTGTGGATTCTGTTTATTCCAATCTAGGTCAGTTATCAATAAAATGATCAATCGATCAGTATCATCCGTGATGTCGTCGCAATGTTTTTGCTAATTCCCGTGAGATGTCACATCATAGACACGTTCAAATTTCTCCAATGATCGGATGTCGTGTGCAAACGCTGCTCAATAAATATGACGCCTACTTGTCAGATGGGCGCAGCTATAATTAAGACCCAAAATTTAATTTCTCTGAAAGGCCACGCCCATCACACCGTGAATCCTGTTAAAAACAAACAAACATACAAACATCATCCAGGTTTGATCATTGTGAACTTTTTTTTTTTGGCATCTCTCTGTGGATCATCACTGAATCAAGCCAATCAAAGGTTCTCAGAAGCCTGGTGATATCTAACCATGGTGCCCGAGCAGCCTGCAGTGCGACGACCTTTCTGATACTGAGGATTATGATTATAATTCATTGGGGCTTTTAACAAATGTGTGACATGGCTTTGACAGCGGGCGGGGCAACATGTCTTGGCCACGGCCTTTAAAGAGCAGGCCCCCCCCCCCACGGCATGTTTCACAGATATGCACAAAAATCACACGTGTATCACGCCCAGACGCGAGACAAAAAAGTCTCTTGGACCCATGAGCTACACCCAACAGGAAGTCGGCCATTTTGAATTCCGTGGTCATTTTTGGCTTTTCTCACGTGTTGTATTTTCATGAACTGGTCAGATTGTGCAAACTTGACAACTTTGTGGTCACAAGTTATTAAGGGATCTACCTGGCGTCAAAGGGCATGCCCGCTGCAGACCATCAGATTTTGATGTCTCGCCATGAAACATGAAGTTGCCATAACTCAAACCACAACTTTTTATGTCGGGGCTTCAGGACACTTGGATCACTACGGACGAGCAGTATGGAGATATTTTGTGGTTTCAATAATGTGTTTTTGGACGTTTGAATCTGGGGCGCCGTCAGCCTCCATTAGGTGGAGTTGTGTTGCTACCTCCTCTCCCCTTGGATCTCTGCAAGTGATGTGAGGACTCTAAAACTTCACCTGAGCCTCCCTCGGCATATGGGTGAGAAGATAATGGCTGAATATTCATTTTTGGGTGCACTATCCCTTTAAACACATCCTAAAAGTTTGGGGACACTACAAATGTGGAAACAGGCGTGTCATAACACAAAAGAGAAATTCTTTGTCTAATCATTCCAAAACCTGCAGGATATGTTGAACAATAATAATTTTGAGCCATGTGTTCAAATTATTTTGACACCATTCAACAGGGGGCGCCACCATTTCCCAACACATTGATTTGCCCGACCATTAATCAGTGACAGCTTGTACATCATTAAAGTTGGACATGTTTAATTAAGATGTTAAAACATTTCTTAGTTTAAGTCAATAAATAATCCACATGTAGTTTTTCTTCTTCATAAGTTGTTGTTTAATGACCTTTAATATGAGCGAACTAGACTCAAACCCCGTCTGAAACTTTAAGAAGTTCGTCCAGTCTATCCAAACGTTTTCAAGTTCTTAAAAGCAGCTGGTGCCAACCTCAAACGTTTCGTCTGCGCGTCCTTCGTGGTTGCGTTCCAATCCTCAACCTCTGCAGTCGAGACACGAGCTTTAACCTATTGAGACCTAGTTTCCTTCATGAGGCCTGCAGGTGATGACCGGGCGAATGTGACTCTCACAGGTGCAAAAATAAAAATAAGTTTCCAAAATCAGGTCGCTTAAGAGTTACATACGTTGTCTTTGACGGCTCAGTTAAATAAAAACAGCAGATATAAAATAACTGATGAATCATAAAGGGGAGGAGCCAGCAGCAGCAGCATCATGTAGGTGTCACAGGTTCACGAGCTTCAGCTTGTAATGGTGGATTCTTGTTTGTTTGTTTGTTTGTCTGGCTCAGTTATTGATCTGTAGATCTGGGAAACAAAAAGAAGACTTTAAAAAGTGTAATTTTACGAGATCCACTGGAGTCATGCGAGGGGTCAAGGTTCGGCTCACCACGAGCAGCTGGTCAGAAAAACACTTGTTGACAAACATGAATAAACACAATAATTGTTGTTGTTGAAAGAGCTGAGCCTGAAAACACATTCCTCCAGGACTGTGGTTCAGACTGTCGTCCTGTTGACAGTCTGTGTCTGTCCAACAGTGACACCTAGTGGACGGAAGCAGCACTGAGACGTGTTGTCCATGCAGAGTCTGTCCTCAACAACAAGGACTGTTGAACCTGAGGCGCCTGTTTCACCATGAAGGACTGAACCTGCCAAAATCAGAAAGAAATAAAATCATAAAGACAGAAATGTAGAAATAAAATGTCCAGTTATCAAATAAATAAATAAATAAATATTT